TCGTTGAGCAAAAATGTGATAAATCAATCTAAACGAATATAGCTTCACATTTTGTAACCAAGTAAGGCAATCTAGGTTTATTCATATTGATCATAGACGCAAATCAGTTCTCTGTTTTAATAATAAAGCAAGACTCTTACTTCATATTTCAGTGTTCTATCTCATGATTTTGTTTATGAGTTTACAATGAGAGCATACATATATTCTAAGAGTAGTTAAGCATTAAAATAATGAGTTTAAGAACGTAAAAACAACTAATATGATGATCAAATTTGTCGAATCAATTATCTATTAAATAATCATGTTTTTAGCCGTTACACAAGATAAATGTGTTTAGCTATTCATGAACAATAGGCTTCACTTCGACTTGTGGCTAGCAAAAAGCGATCCCCAACCCCCAAACAATTCGTCCAAGGTTTTATTAATAACAACTATTTCTAGTTGGATGTGATCTTGACTTGTAAAATGATCCCTCAGTGAAATATTTGTTTGTGACTTTACTCCAACGTATGGCTTAGGCTCTGTGGGGTGCCCTTCATTGCAGTCTTTTAGCTCGTCGATGCGCCCTCCATCGCGCAATAAAGCTGAATTTTCATTGCACTGAAGCTCAAGCACAATCCTAACGTGGGGGTTCATCGATGAGTGCCTTCTTTGCACCGCAAACTCCTTCCTTTCAAGGTCAAATCATGTATCTTATGTTCATAGTGCTTGGATTTTGTTTCTTTTATTATTTTTGATCTATTCCTGCTGCATTTTGACCTGAAATATGTCTATCACATATATTAGCTTACTCACATTAATTTTGCTCAAAACACATGAATATATGTGAAATTATTTTGTAATATAAGTTAATCATGAGTAAAATACGACATTGAATATATAAGTACACTCAAAATCAAATATCACCAATTAATAATCTAAGAAAAATTGTTCCAGAATCGCCTTCAATTACTCAAAGAAACATTCAACTTGAGCTAAATCAGATTTATATAAATATAAGAACAAAACACATCTTCTTTCGATTAAAACATTCAATAATGTCTTCTAAGTTTGGGGAGTGTTTTATTTATTTTTATTTGGGAAAAGAGTCGTCACTTAATTTTTGAGAGATTAAGACAACTTAGAATTTCAAAAGATTTAAAACAGAAAAATCAATTGAAATACCAAGGGGAGTTCGGGGTTCACATTTACACTTCAAGAAGAATTTTAAAGCATTTGAAGTGTCCGCTAACACGAGGTTATCCGACGATTTAAAATATTTGGCAAAGACTTAAAAAAAAGAAGGAATGCTTAATCACTTCAGGAAATAATTGAATTTTTACACTTAAAACATTTTTGCAGGAAAAGAAAAACATTCTTGTCTAAAATATGACTAAGTAAAGAAAGTTTCAAAGTTTTTCAAATAAAGGGTTTATAATGAACTAATATGAGAATAACTCATCCTTGGGGAATTTGAATTAAGTTAAACTTTAAAATTTGTTATCAAATAAGCAAGTACTAATTAAACAAATTATTAAATAATAAAGAGGGAGAAGTATTGGGCCCAAATCTGATTTCTGTCCGCTTGGGCCAGTACTTGGGCCTAATTTTTTATTTTGGGTTTTGGCCCAATTTCCCTGTCCTAAAACTAGCAATAGGGTTGCCCATTTATCTCAAAATTTGTTGCTGGAGTTTTTTAGGCGTTTTGCTCCATTTTCACTGTTGTATACAATGTCTACCAATTGTGTATATCACTGTATATCCAGTATTCTTTTGTATACAGTATGTATACAGCCCCTTTTGGAGACTTTCGAAACCTGTATTGTTGTTCTAGCCCTGTATTTATGCCTTCAACCTATATATCAATGTATACTTAGCGTAAACTTTCGGAGACTTGTGATCTGTCTTTCAACCTGTTCATCAGCTTCTCTATCTTGGCAATAAGGGTTGACCCGAGAAGAAGAAGAAGAATTTGGGCTTCATGGCCCTCTCGAAATGCAAGGGGAAGAAAGATGGAGTCCAAAATAAACTTGAGGCAGATTTCATGTAGAAAAAGAATATAAATAATAAGCATTAGCACTTATTTGCAATGAAGGTAGCAAAATAATCACACAAATTTTTTACTTATATATATTTGATCTCAAATAATTACCAATAACAGTAAACGCGTCAATCATAATTTGATACCCTTTATGAATTTGATATCAAAAAATCTACGAATCTGGAAATTCATTTTGATCTCTCCTATTTTCTCTTCTTCTTTTTCCTTTATAGGGTACCATTAAGAAATGGTAATTTTCGCCATTGGTCAATACCAAATAAATGATCACTTGATAATATATGAAGAGGAGTGGGTGATCGATGTGGGAACATGGTTCGAGTCCATCGGTTTATTAGGATTCCTCAGTTGTAGATATCAATGCACTTTCACTTGATACTTATTGTAATGATAAATGATTCATCTCACTGTGACCTTCTCTTAAATTTTTTAAAAAGAATTATGTCCCTCCATCCCCTGTAGGGACAGAGAATTCGCTGGACTGTGCTACTGAAAGCTCTGAGAAAATCAAAATAGAAAAACACTCCTTTCGTGGTGGGCTTACTAATTAGTTGATTTCAATAGTTCTCTGTTATGCACTTGGCTACCCAATATTCATCGTGTGTATGCTAATTGGTATACTAGAGGTGCCTCTTTCTAGCTCTAACAAATGAAGTTAAATGTGTTGATAGAGGAATATTTACTTCAAAACTTTAGAAAGAAAGAAAAATGTCTTAAAAAAAATGTCTTAAATGCTCCACATTTCAGGCTTAATTCCCTTTTTATTTGGGAGTATTGATTATACCCAAATTATGAGCTTCATGTTACTCTTTTCAAGTGGCATGTCAGGCTCAAAAAATCTCAATTGAGTTGACTGAAATGACAGTTTCTCTTTTGAATTTAAAAAATCAAAATTTTAATCAAATTACGCATTGCAATATAATTCATATAATCGAGATCAAATATATCACGTAAAATATAATTTTGAAAAGAGAAAGAATTGGAGCTATGATAAAAAAAAAAAAAAAAATCCCCATGCACTAATCGTTGATTAGCACGAAGAATATACGACCCTATTTGATGTAATTGGAGGCAAAGATGAAAATTTCATGAAAGAGAAACTAAAATAAAATGTGCACATCATGTATAAAGTAATACACCCATTCTAATGTGTATGTGTACCTTTATACACTATATATAGTGTTTATTCACCTTATATATAATATTTGCATGTATTGGAAAAATATGTATTTATAGTATATAATTATTCTATACATGTTTACACTGTTCACAAACATTGTATTTCAATTTTAGAGGAGGAGGAGTAGGATAGTAGGGAGAAGAAGAGGGGGAAGAAGAAACATGGCATACATATTATAATGTGGATATATACTATTTATACTCATTATACATGTTGTACACCTTATATACATTATGTATAGACACTAATAATATGGAAGTATGTATATATATTTTACCTTTACCACACACTCTTCTCACAGAGAATCGTTCTCAATAATTTTCATCATTGTTACCACCACTTCTGCTAGATTCACTACCAATTCAATAAAACTCAAGCAACAAAAATGAAGAAGAAGGAGAGAAGGAAAGAAGAGGGAAGGGGGGACAAGAAGAAGAAGGATTCTTTGTTTTTGTCACCATAATTCTTTGAAGATATTAAAATTTATTATATCATGGGAGGGAATGGTAATAATACGAGTACTATGGTAAGACGTGAAAACACTCGATTTCATTCCAACCTCAATATGAGGAATTGTCTTACATCATATGTACTGAGATTGTTTCGGAGGCATGGTCCAAGGCTGGTGAAAAAATGAAATAAAAAAAATCGAGAGCGGGGACGGCCCTACACGAAGAAGAAGAAGAAGAGGACGAGGAGAAGTCAAACTTAAATGACTTGAAGAAGAAGTAAAAAAAATCAGACTTGAATGACTTTTAAGTCAAAAAATAAAAAGTAGGAAAAAGTCAAACTTAAAATAACTTTTAAGTCAAAAAATAAAAAGTAGGGAAAGTGCTACTTTTGATTTTTAACTTTTTTTTAAAATGTTACAAATCCACTTAATTGTGTGGATGTTTCTCTTAATCTATCCTAACGTAATGTATCCATTTAGTATATTAATTAAATATTATAGTAACGTATTGTCAAATGTTGTAAAAGGATGATTTAAACATCCTATAAAAGGTAGTCTTCATCCTTAGGAAATACACACTTGAAGAGTATTAAATAATATTCTCCCCTCTATACTTCTCATCACAATTTGTCTTCCTTACTTGTTTAGTATTATTATATTTTGCTCTCATTTTACAACACGTTATCAGCACGAATCTCTAACCAATTAAGACCTACTTAATTCGGAATTATCTTTTTCCCTAAAAAGTTAATCAATTTTCTTTCCGAGTCAGGTATACATTTATATGTTTATAACATATCTAATAGGACTTACATAAGTCTTTGATCAACGATTTAATTACTGCATATATAACTTGCTTTAGGTATTTGTATGATACTTTACTAGGCATAATAATCAATACGTTTCAGGTTTATATTTTTATGTTGTTTATATGCTAGTAACTTATAACTCTAAATTAAATACTAGGATATATGATAACATGCTAGTTAGAATAATCGTAAGTATTTTAATTTCTTGTCATAAATTTATGATAAATATTGGTGTGTCATAAAGAATAATAGTATTATATTAAATATGACTTAAAATCTTACGGTAGCTTTGGCGTTAATAACTATTGAACTAGTAATAAATATAGTAAAATAATTAATTAGAATATATATTAAATTTACTGTTTCATACTTTATGAGTTTACATGCTTTTGTAACATCCCATATTCATGCATATGATATATTTTATACTAATTCTTAACCATTTGAAATATTAATTTATCTTTCATTATAAAGAAATCAAAATCATGTTATTAACTCAACTATTTTATGATAGTTTTCATCATGTCGAATTTATCAAAGCTTGAATTTGTGGCACTTGACATTTCTGGAAAGAACTATTTGTCATGGGTACTTGATGCTGAAATTCACCTTACCGCTAAGGGTCTTGGTGATTGTATAATCGAACGAAATAAGGCATCAAGTCAGGATAAAGCGAAAGCTATGATTTTCCTTCGTCATCATCTTGATGAAAGCTTGAAGGTTGAATACTTAACAATGAAAGATCCACTTGAATTGTGGATAGGTTTGAAAGGGAGGTATGACCACCTCAAGGCAACGGTATTGCCAAGGGCTCGTTATGAGTGGATGCACTTACGATTTCAAGATCATAAAACCGTAATTGAGTATAACTCTGCTGTATTTAGAATCACTTCCCAATTAAAATTATGTGGGGAAGTTATAAAGGATGAGGACATGTTGGAAAAGACACTAACTACTTTTCATGCCTCCAATATGATATTACAGCAGCAATACCGTGAAAAGGGTTTTAAAAAATACTCTGAATTAATCTCATGCCTTTTGGTGGCTGAGCAACATAATGACCTTTTCATGAAAAATCATGAAGCCCGTCCCACTGGAAGTGCTCCATTACCGGAGGCCCACGGGGTAGAAGCACACGGCTAGTCTGAAATAAGACAAAATAATCGGGGCCATGATAATGTGCGTGGACGTGGCAAAGGCAAAAGACGATATAATAATCGTCGAGGTGGTGGTCATAACAAAAGGGAGAACAATATGGGTTCTCAAAATAATCCTTCAAAAGGCAAGGGCGATCACTGTCATCGTTGTGGCCTTAAAGGTCACTGGAAAAATGAATGTCGGGCACCTGAGCATTTTGTCAGGCTGTATCAAAATTCCTTTAAAAGGAAAGGGAATAAAGGTGGTGCCTCCTCTTATAATGCCCGAGTGGAGTCACATTTGACTCTCAAAGATGATGCTCAGGCAGGGTCTTCTCAAAAATATGATGAGAATGTTGAAGCGAATTTAGCATTGAAAGATGATGCTTTTGATGGGCTCGATGATATTACTCATCTAGAAGCTGAGGACTTCTTCGGGGATCGCAACTGAAGATTGATAATTAAACTGGAAAATGAATAATGTTTTTTTTTATGTATTTTTAATGTCTTCATTAAAGTTTATGTACTTAAGATTTTTTTTTGTTAAATTTCGTACTTCTTATTATGTATTTTGATTTTTATGAAGATAAATAAATTTTTCCAGTCTTCAGTTGGATTCAATATGAGTAATGGAGATATGTGCCTTCTGGACAGTGCCACAACTCATACGATACTAAGAGAAAAGAAATATTTCTCTCATTTGGTAATGAAAAAGGCATATGTTAATACAATATCCGGTAGTACAAAATTGATTGAGGGTTCTGGAAGAGCAACCTTATTACTACCTGGAGGAACATTATTGGTAATTGATAATGCATTGTATTGTAGTAAGTCTCAAAGAAACTTGTTAAGTTTCAAGGTTATTCGCCAAAATGGCTATCATGTTGAGACTGCGAATGAAGGAAAGGTTGAATACCTTTATATTACTACAATAAATGCAGAGAAGAAAATTGTGCATGAAAAATTGTCTGCACTTTCTTCTGGGTTGTACCATACAAATATTGGTACAATTGAATCACATGCCGTGGTAAACAAAAGGTTTACTGGTTCTAATGATTTTATCATTTGGCATGACCGGTTAGGCCATCCCGGTTATAATATGATGCGCAGAATAATTGAAAATTCACATGGACATACTTTGAAGAACCAAAATGTTCTCAAATCAAAGGAATTTTCTTGTGCTGCTTGTTCACAAGGAAAGTTGGTTATCAAACCATCAGTGGCTAAGGTTGGGATGGAATCCCCTGCATTTCTGGAACGGATACAGGGTGACATATGTGGACCTATTCACCCTGCTTGTGGACCATTTAAATATTATATGGTCTTGATAGATGCATCTACAAGATGGTCTCATGTATGCTTATTATCAACTCGCAATATGGCTTTTGCGAGGTTGTTGGCTCAAATAATAAGGTTAAAAGCACAATTTCCAGATTATGCAATAAAAACAATTCGTCTTGATAATGCTGGTGAATTTACATCTCAGGCATTTAATGATTATTGTTTGTCCACGGGAATAACAATTGAACATCATGTTGCACATGTTCATACTCAAAATGGTTTAGCAGAGTCATTGATTAAACGTCTTCAATTAATAGCTAGACCATTGTTGATGAGAATAAAGTTGCCCGTTTCTGTTTGGGGGCATGCTATTTTGCATGCAGCGGCACTTGTGCGCATAAGGCCAACCAGTTATCATGATATCTCCCCATTACAATTGGTTTTTGGTCAGGAGCCAAACATTTCCCATCTTAGAATATTTGGTTGTGCGGTATATGTTCCAATTGCTCCACCACAGCGCACAAAGATGGGTCCCCAAAGAAGGTTGGGGATATATGTTGGGTATAAATCTCGTTCTATTATAAAATATTTGGAACCTAGAACTGGAGATTTATTTACGGCAAGGTTTGCTGATTGTCATTTTGATGAATCAGTATACCCAACATTGGGGGGAGAACAAAAGCAGTTGGGAAATGAGATAGATTGGAATTCACTTTCACTGTCTCATTTAGACCCTCGAACAAATCAATGTGAGCTGGAAGTTCAAAAGATAATTTATTTGCAGAATATTGCAAATCAACTGCCGGATGCATTTACTAACCTTCCACGGGTTACTAAATCATATATCCCAGCTGCTAATGCTCAAGTTCGAGTTGATATCCCGATAGGACAAAATGTTAAGGCAAATGAGTCTGGACCACGCTTAAAGAGTGGTAGACCAATTGGTTCCAAGGATAAAAATCCTCGGAAAAGGAAAGGAATAAATTATCAAGATGATCATAATATGGAGGCAATTGCGCATGAAGAGCTCCGAGACATAATAAATTATGACACCAAAGAGGAGGTCCATGTACCAGAAAATAATGAGAATGAGGAAATCTCTATAAATTATGTCTCGACAAGAAAAATGTGGAATCGAAATAATATTGTGGTGGATAATATTTTTGCCTATAATGTTGCAGTTGAAATAATGCAACAAGATGAGGATTCGGAGCCAAGATCTGTCAATGAATGTAGACAGAGAAATGATTGGCCAAAATGGAAGGAAGCAATTCAAACAGAATTGGCTTCACTTGAAAAACGTGAAATTTTTGGACCAATAGTCCGAACACCTGAAGGTGTCAAGCCAGTGGGGTACAAATGGGTTTTTGTGCGAAAATGCAATGAAAATGGTAAAGTCGTAAGATATAAAGCACGACTTGTGGCACAAGGATTTTCGCAAAGACCTGACATTGATTATGAGGAGACATATTCTCCTGTGGTAGATGCAATTACCTTCAGGTATCTAATAAATATGACAGTTCATAAAAAGCTTGAAATGCATCTAATGGACGTTGTCACAGCCTATTTATATGGCTCACTAGACCACAATATTTTTATGAAAATCCCTGAAGAACTCAAAGTGCCTGAAGCATATGAAAATTCAAAAGAAAGTTGTTCAATAAAGCTTCAGAAACCCTTATATGGATTGAAACAATCAGGGCGAATGTGGTATAATCGTCTTAGCGAATATTTGCTAAAAGAAAGGTATAAGAATGACCCTATTTGTCCTTGTATTTTTATACGAAGGTCAAAATCTGAATTTGTAATAATATCTGTTTATGTTGATGACTTGAACATTATTGGAACTCCTACAGAGCTTTCAAAAGCCGTTGAGTGTTTGAAAAAAGAATTTGAAATGAAAGATCTTGGAAAGACAAAATTTTGTCTTGGCCTTCAGATTGAACATTTGAAAAGTGTAATATTTATCCATCAATCAACATGTACTGAAAAGGTTTTGAAGCGATTTTACATGGATAAATCACACCCATTGAGTACCCCGATGGTTGTGAGATCTCTCGATATAAATAAAGATTCATTCTGACCTCAAGAAAAGGATGAAGAGATTCTTGGTGATGAAACACCATATCTTAGTGCTATTGGGGCACTAATGTACCTGGCCAACAATACCCGGCCAGATATTTGTTTCGCAGTAAGTTTATTGGCGAGATTCAGCTCATGTCCAACAAGAAGACATTGGAAAGGTGTTAAGCATATATTCAGATATCTTCAAGGAACAATTGATATGGGATTGTTGTATTCTAATGCATCCAAGTCAGAATTGATCGGTTATGCAGATGCTGGCTATTTGTCTGATCCACATAAAGCTCGATCTCAGACAGGCTATTTATTCACATATGGAGGTACGGCTATATCATGGCGTTCGATGAAGCAAACAATAGTTGCTACTTCTTCAAATCATGCAGAGATAATAGCCATTCATGAAGCCAGTCGAGAGTGTGTATGGTTGAGATCAATGACTCAACACATTTTGCAATTATGCGGTCTTTCTATGCAAACAAAGACTCCAACAATACTGTATGAAGATAATGCTGCTTGCATAGCTCAATTAAAGGGAGGATATATCAAAGGAGACCGAACAAAGCATATTTCACCTAAGTTCTTTTTCACACATGATCTTCAACAAAATGGTGAGATAAATGTTCAACAGATTCGTTCGAGTGATAATCTTGCAGATTTATTCACTAAGGCATTGCCAACGTCAACATTTGAGAAGCTAAGATATAAGATTGGAATGCGTCGTCTCCAAGATATCAAATAAATTTTTCACAGGGGGAGTAAAATACGCGTTGCACTCTTTTTCCCTTAGCCAAGGTTTTGTCCCATTGGGTTTTCCTGGTAAGGTTTTTAATGAGGCAACACTCAAGGCGTATTACAAGATGTGTGTACTCTTTTTCCTTCACTCGGCTTTTTCCCACTGGATTTTTCCTAGTAAGGTTTTAACGAGGCACATTATCTATAAACATCCAAGGGGGAGTGTTACAAATCCACTTAATTGTGTGGATGTTTCTCTTAATCTATCCTAACGTAATGTATCCATTTAGTATATTAATTAAATATTATAGTAACGTATTGTCAAATGTTGTAAAAGGATGATTTAAACATCCTATAAAAGGTAGTCTTCATCCTTAGGAAATACACACTTGAAGAGTATTAAATAATATTCTCCCCTCTATACTTCTCATCACAATTTGTCTTCCTTACTTGTTTAGTATTATTATATTTTGCTCTCATTTAACAACATAAAAGTCATTTTAAATTTATTTTAAGTTATTTTTAATTTTACCAAACACTACCAAAAGCTAAAAATGACTTTAAAGTAGGTTTGATCAATTCTTAAGTTAATCCAAACAGGCCCTAGAGGATGAAGAAGAAACATTGATTTACACATTGTGATGTGGACATACACTATTTATACATATAATGCATATACACTTTATAAACATTATTTATACACTATGTATAGATATTACATTTCAGCCACACACTCTTCCTCTTGCAGAGAATTGCTATCAATGAATTTCACATTTCTTTTCTCAAAAAATTTCATTCCTACAACCAATTTTGTTAAGCTCTACTACCAAATTAAAAACAAAAATCAGCAAACAATAACCACACTCAAGCACAAGTGAAGAAAATAATAATAAGAACAAGGATGATGAATAT